TTTCTGAAAAACAATTTCACAGAAAAATTCATTTCTCGGGCCCTCGACCTCGGAATTCGACTCTGGGCATATGCCCGAGTTTCATATTTTTCTACGGACCCTCCGGGATCGTCAAATCACGGGTCCGGGTCCGTTTACTCAAAATGTTGACCAAAGTCAACTTTATTCATATTAATATCAAAATTCATCAATTTTTACACAAAATTCATATTTAAGCTTTCCGGCTACGCGCCCGGACTGCGCACGCAAATCGAGGTAAGTAAAAATAAGGTTTTCATGGCCTCGGAAGCACGAAATGAAAGAGAAAACAGGTGATGACCCCTTTGGGTCGTCGCATTATCGGAATGGACAAAACGTTGGCATATACGTTGGCGGTCGCTTGGTAAGAGATACAAGAATAGAGTTGAATAGTGTGTTATTAGTAATGTTGGGATTAGTTATACTGGTATTAATATGCTGAGATTATTACTTATAAATTATTTGGTTACGTGTATTAAAGTATTGCATAATTTATAAAAGAATTGATTATTTGTAAAAATACCCTATGTTATACCCCATTTTAACACGGGTCAAATTAGAGTATAACATATTGGTAATTCTGAGGTTTATTTGATTAAAGAGAGTCGCCACCTAATTATTTTAATGGTGAATTAGGACACCAATTTTAGCTAAATAATGCTTAAAGTTAACTCCGTTCTATGGTCTACTTAACCTTTAAGACTACGGGTAAGGATTCTAATTAATCTTATAGAGAAGGTATTAAGCACTCTATATGACCCATTAAATATGGTTAACCGGCCAAACTTAGGTTAATTATTTTATAAAAATTGTTAAGGCAAAGTGGTGATAACAATGACTAAAAAGTTCCAAACAACTTGAATAATTTAAAAGAAGCCAAACTTCATATTTGAACTTGAAGGTATTAATTAGCAAAATCGATTTTAACGTCAGAAAGTGGGCTAAAGTCGTTATTATAATGGAGTGAAAAATGTTTGAGATGCATTATTTTATCTCTGAGAAAAAAGCAGTTTCTTACTTAGCGCATAGTTCAGTCCAATAATCCATCTCAAATCTATCGAAGGCTTAATATAACAATATCTTTTCTTGAGTAGAAGAGTCAATTGATTTGAATTTTTTTTTTGACTCAATCTAAAAAAGGTAGGCTCATCTATCCAAAGATGTACCTGACTCAAATTTTGAGTAAAATAATGACTCAACTGACAACTATCCCAAAGTATCGTTGTTGATTTTAAAAGTTATTCTAATAAATAAGTGTTTTACTGATAACTAAATGGATTCCCCAAGTGGCTAAACAAAATTGTTGCCTAAACATGTATTAACAGAATTCCAAATCAAATCACAGAAATCAGTAGTTAGTCTAAAAGATTCAAACAAAATAAATGCTAAAGACGAAAGCCGCCATAGGCGACCCCAGGCGTTTCACTTGTTTTCTTTTTATAGGGTGCATTCTAAAGAGGATGGTATGAGATGCGATGACTCCATGCTCGGGTAGTGTTGAGTGAGTCTCTATGAGACTCCGATTTTGCTCCAAGTGTTCATGCAAAGAAAAAGAGAGATAAAGAATTAGAGAAATTATTTGATTCTTGACAATATAAGATATCTACAACATTATATGAATCTTCTATTCACAGAAAGAAAAAGAAAGAACACCCGAGATGTGAGATGCTCGTATTTCAAATACACATGCTTAACTAACTCACTTCTCAACCCAAGTATCTAAACAAACATAATAACTACATATGAAGAAAGAGACTTGAGGTAGTGAATTACATTCCCATACCAATGAGTACCTTGCAATAGTAGGTACTATTTTATATCCACTGTTCACTTTCAAATACTAAAAATGCAAGATATGTGCCACATCTTGGCATCAAAATTCTTTGCTGACATTTGAACTCCACAAATAATAGCATCTTTTCTCACAGATATTGGCATAGATATTTAAAAATAAGAGAAAAACTAAGCTCATTGGAATGCATGCAAGAAAGATTAGTAGATGATTTATTTCAGTCTATCTTGTAAAGGTTAAGAAATCGTTGTTTGTTGTCGACCTTGTCGACATGAAATTAACTGAATAACTGTAACAATCAGATGCTCATTATGCTATTACTAACAGTTTGGATGTAGGAAAAAAAAACTCCTAATGGTCTAAAGGGATATTTTGAGTAAGAGCATGGCTACTTAACTAACTTCTTCAACAATATGGATAGAAAAAAAAGCTATAACTAAGACAGTGTACTTTCAAAGAAAATATGAAATCACACTCAAACTTAACCTTGTGAAGATGGTCATTAGGCATCAAATTTTCAACTTAATTCAGTTATTAACTCACTTATAATCTAAAGATTCATGCTTAGCAAAATGGACATAGTTTTAAAATTTAGCAATCTGATTGTAAAAGAAAACATCTTCACCATAATGTTCCTTATGTTTAACCAAGCTTAAAATTCACCGGTTTAACATATAAGTTAACACTATCTATATAGACACACATGGGCATGCTCGCAAAAGAATATAGACACATATGGGCATGCTCGCACAACAATTTAATAGAAACTTCATACAATATTCCATTAAGAAGCTATTCAAATGGGTCATTAAAGGTAAAAAAGTGGCTATCTAATATTCTAACACTACGCCTTTCATAAACTAGACAGTAAACTTAAAACACATATTTTTCTCATGAAAAGGGTATTTAGAGCATAGTTGTTAGATCATACAGTGAGGAAAAGTCTTGACTTAATAAATGTCGAATGAAGAAACAAATTTTAAGCAAATTAAAGCTAGTGGTGTTTAAAGCAAAGGTATAGAGTAACAGTTAAAGTAGCAATTTGACAGAAAGCATATTAGCATAAGCACTTAGCCAACAATATCCTATTTTTCTGCTTGATAAACACATAGTCAGAATCTATGATTTCTCACGATTTGCACACACAAACAGACTTTAAGTCATGATTTCTAGACGAAAGGATAAACTGCAAATCATATTTTTTTACGATAAAACAAAGCACTTGTTTCGAATCTGCGGGAAATAAAACTAGGACCTAAGAGATAAAAGAGTTACTGACCTTTTTGCGGGCAGCGAACTGGGTTGGGGTCTTTGATCCTCTATCGAACTCTGACCTCCAACTCGCTACCTCGGACGGAATCAAACCCCGGTATAAAATAAATTGCTTCAAGATTGGAAACCAACAAAAAGCAGAGAAGAAAGGAAGAGCAAACTACAATTTTATTCTTTTATTTTTTCAAAAAATCAGTGAGCTTAGGAGAAAAGGGGAGGCCGCTCCGAGCTTGGTTTTGAATGGTGAAGGCAGCGACTGAACCTCTCCCCATTGTTTTCCCAATGCCATTATTTATAGGCAAAAATTAGGGTTGATTTTGGGCGGGATTTGAACCAAAAAAATATGAATTTTGAATCAAATTGGCCGTTCAAATTTGAGCGTTGGAAGCCATGGCAGAGATGGCAGCATGGAGCAGAAATTTTAAGCCAAAAATGGTGAAGCATTTGCTAGGTTCGGTTATGGAAGATTTTGGCTTTTGGTAAAAAGAGGAAGAAGAACGTTGGGAAACAGCTGGTGAAAGGGTTTAGGTTCATTGTAATGTGTGAATCAAATGAGGCCATTGGATCAAGATCAAAGGGTGAGGATTAAGGGTCTAGAGGGTTCTATGGGTTTGGGTTGCTGATAATTGGGTTTTTAGGGCTGAAATTAGGCCGAAAATATTGGGCTATTGGCTTAGGCTTGATACTAGGCTGATTTTGGGGACTAAATAAGGCTAATTATATTATGGCTAAAATTTATGGCCTATTCCCTCCTTTCAATTAATTTTCTTAGGCTTTTTACATCTCTAAATACACTGTGTTAGCTATATCATAAAATACTATATAGTAATATCCTATTATTAATTAAATTACTGAAAATATTTGAATAAGTAAAATAATAATGAACTATTGCATATTATACTAATTAATTTTAAACTACTATAATATTTATAGAGTGACGTTAGAAATACTACTTTTGATTAAACAGAGGAAAGTGATATATCTTACATGAAAGACGATAATAATGATATTAAAATAATAATAACAACGATAATAATAACGATAATGTGAATAAAAAAAGCTATGGTAATAATAGTTTTAATAATAGTAACAAATAAGTCAATTCGTGTTGAAAATAATAAGATGCCTATTTTTATATTATTAGTAATATTAGAAGCTTAAGAAAATAGTTTGGAAGAAAGGAGGGACGAAATTGGATGTCAACAGCTGCCCCTCTTTGACCGGAGACGATGAAAGAGTTTTTCGGGTAAAGAAATTGACTTAATAGCCAATTTTGTCCTGACCATCAAGGTTGGAATGGGACAAAGGGGACGTAAAAAAATAATTGCGGCCGAACCCCAGTTTCGAGTTGCCTACATATCTCGGGTTTCACGAGAATCAGGCCATATGTAGTTCAAGACTTATGGTACCCTGTAGTAGGACTCATCTATTGATGCAAATCTTAAAATGCTGCCCCAGTGTTGAATTATAGAGACACTGGGTACCATGATTGAAAGAAAGATATTTGAAATAAGGATTTTGTTAGGAATTTTGAGAGTTGAGTCGAGCGGAGTTCAAAGTAGATCCTTGACCTTTATTGGAGAGTTTGATATTCCTCTCCAAACTGCCCCAGTTCACTGCTAAGATATAGTTCCACATTGCGCTATATTTCCTGCAAAGCTTAACAATGCTACAAATATTCGTTAGGAAATAAGATGCAATATGAAAAAAATATTTAGGCGTCAATTCATGAGAAAATGCGAATTTATTGGGCAAACTTATAAAAAATATATTTTNCTGGCCCCACCACAAAATCAATTAATCTTCTAGATGTCATTTTCACACGAGTACTCTTTCTAGGCTGAGTAGGATTATTCTTATCCAACGTGTCATCCCTGCTGTCTTCTATGTCACTATTATCATTCATAACATTAGACCTCTAAGTTCTAGGAATAGTAAGGGTCAAGACACCATCTTTCATCTCAGCCTTGATCTCATCAACTTTGGCATCTTCAGGAAGCACAATGCTGTTGTCGTAGTATCCATAGCTTCTTGAAGACCAGAACTCATCATTTGAACCTTCCTCTTGCTCTTCCTTGCGCTCTCCCTTCATCCTCCACTACAAGAAAAGTCCTAATTACATGGGGATTTTACCTGGGGATTTTATTCGCAGATAAGACCTACGGATTTTCATGGGAAACATTAAAATTCCTAAATCTAAAATATTTTACCTGCGAAAAATATTTTCCTAGAAAAATCCGTAGGTAACTTTGGCGCCGTTATGCGCCAAAAATATTACCTGGGAAATTACCTGGGGAAATAAATTGGCAAGTACATTTTCGTAGAAAAATCCGCAGGTCAACCAATAAAGAAAATGGAAAAGAAATCCTATGTTAATCCGAAGGAAAATCCCTAGGTAATTTTACATGCGAATTTAGTTGGGGATATTTTCTTGGGTATTACCTGGGGATTTTTTTATTTGGGAAATTACTTGGGGATATTGTTGTTGCGAATTTAGCTGGAAATTTTTTCTTGGGGATTTACTTGGGAATTCTCTTAGCTGGGGAATTACCTGGGGATGTTATTGCTACGGATTTAGTTAGGAATAATTTCTTGGGGATTTACTTGGGAATATTCTTACCTGGGGAATTACCTAGAGATTTTGTCAATTTGAATTTGGTTAAAATATTTTTCTTGCGGATCTACTTATTTGGGAAATTGCATAGAGATTTTATAATTGTAATTTTACTAAAAATTTATTCTTGATAATATAGCTTGGGATTTATCTTGAAATATTATTACGTAAGAAATTAACTAGAGATTACTTGTGTGGATTACGTAGGTGTTGACTACTTTCTTTTTTAACCACTTCTATCTCTTCTAATTTTTTAAATACAAATTGAATTTGACAAATTTTATATAACTTCTTATGATAATGTTGTTTAGAAGACGGCGATAATAACTTAATTTTGTAAGAGATTGTTGCAAGAAGATCAAATAAGATCTCCATTCTTCTTTATATTTGGTTAAATAATATATAAGACCTTGAATTGGATATGATTTTTGATAATTTATCGTTTATTGCACGACAAATTTTGCTGCTTAACTACAAAATTTATTTGTCGTAATTTTTCTTTTAGTCGATATGTCTAGAATACACAGTACCTATACAATCATTTTGATACAAAGTTTATAATGAAAGAAGTGGATACGTGATAGATTATAAGCTTTTAAAGTTATCTGAATTGTTTTCATACTTAACTACGTCATCTGTTATATTTTTTTAGAACTAAATAGGATCAATATTTAATATTTTGAAGAGCTTATATTTTTAAATTTTATTTTATAACTCAGAACACATCCTTCCGTATTAATTTTATCTATTATATATTTTTATCGATTATTAAGGTAAATATTATTAAAATATTGACTCTATATAAGACTTAATGATGTATATATTCGGATTGAATACGTGATTTTTCTTGTAGTGCTCAAAATTCCATCTTCCACCGTGATCTTCACGTCCTCTTTCCCGAGCCCTGGCACAGCATACTTGATTTTGTAGCTCTTGTTGTCCTCCTTATATCTACCCATAAGTTGTGACTGAGTCACGTTCAGATTCTCGAACAGCCTGTTGATGTTCTCCGAAGCTTGAATCAATGCATTTCCAAGTCCAACAGGTAAAACATCTGTAACATTAAACAAAGTGAGCATATTATCAATTTCAATAAAAAGTGGAATTGAAGAAGGGGTGTAAGGATGTCGATCGTACCCAAAAGAGCAGGTGCGAAGTCAGGATTGTGGCGTCTCCAGAGACTGCCGCGACCGCGTCCCCTAGGAAAGAGCTTGGATTTCTTGCCACCTTCAGAGACTGCTACTTCACGCTTCTCTGTTCTATTTTCACCCTCACCAGCTGTGGAGAAACGTTTTACAAGTTGAGAACTCCATCTCAGTTTCTGTAGATTGTCAACATTCCTAAAGAAGGTGGTCGAGGGGCTTGAGGCCATCCTCTGCTGTACATTCTTTAAAGCTAAACGAGCCAAAGCCATTTTCTAACTGTTGGTCCTTGCGCCTTGTTATATACAGAACGCAGATTAAATTACTGTTAGTTAGTTTGTTTTAGTTCCTCAGTGGTATGAAGGCAGAGTGGAGTAAGGAAAGGATTTAAAGGTAGGTTTATAATGATGTGGAGATATGCATGATACATCTAACACGAATTTTCCAGCTAATAAGGTGATAGATCAGATTGTCCTCCGATTAAAACTACTCCGACTACAAAATGTTTCAATTTGCCCAAATTGATAACATTTCATTTTAGAAAAAAACAAGAAAAAAAAAGAGAACATTTTGTAACCTCCTTGTCACAAAGCAAATCAATTTTACATCAGCATATATATCCTATTCACTTGACGTTTCATCAACAATTCCTTGCTTATACAGTCCTTCCTGCTCCCAAAAAGTAACAAGAAAACTATGTCAGTTAACATGAGCAAAACCATAGTGTCATTAAAACATGACCATAAGGAGCAATAGACTACATAAACTCCATTTCACAATGCATACTTACAGCAAAAGGGGTAGGCTTGGGCAATGGTTTGTTGCTTCTGAACTATCATATGTAGCATTCCAACTTCAAAGCCAAAAATTCTTAAACAGAAAGTACAGACAAAAAGGATCATAAACAAGCTTAACTTAAGCAGAGAACAATACGTCTAAGAAAAGCTCAGTTCTCATAAACTGCCAAGGTAGATTATGACACAAGTTGGTTGTCCTGTTACTAAGATATCCCAACATGCTCCACAGTTTAGGTATTGAAAGTTGTTCTAAGGTTTTAAAAGGAACAAGATTAAAGGCTGGATTATGGGCCATCGCAATGTGACACACTATTTTCTCTCTGGATCCATAATTACACTTGATATATGAACACTTCGAAACTTTCCTCAATGGTAAACTTATATGACGAGACATTTACACCATAACAAAAGAGATTCTCATTCCCATTTTACCTGATGTCCTGGTAGGGACAAGAAAAGAGATTAGTTGAGCAGCTTATACCTGTTATTCCAGCACTTTGGAATACTAAATAGTTTATGAATGGAATTTAGTACATAAGACCATTAAATCACCACCACCCGAAGCTCACATCTTGTTCAAAAATGTAACACATCATTCAGATTCCAACCTTTGCGTCTATGCCTATTACCTACTACTATGTTATGCCTCTATATCGAAGAGTAAGATTCATACACAACAATATGAATGCGTCACTTCTTTTTTAAGGGTAAATGACATTTCATTGATGTCAAAACAGCACCAACTCCTGGGGCATTTACAACATCAACAATAGTACAAGGTTAAAGGAAAGGATATCAGAGAGCAAAAAACAGAAGCAAAAGTAGATTTGGCTGACTATTAGATAACAGCCCCACCGCATGGAATTCGCCTAGACGCAGCACTGAGAGTGGCTCTGATACCATCAGTAACGGCCCAGCCCGCTAGTGATATTGTCCGCTCTAGGCCTAGGCCCTCACGGGTTTAAAACGCGTCACTAGGGTCTAAGATTTGTCAACTTATATACCCAACACCCCTCTTGCATTTTGCCGATGTGGGAACACTGTCTAAAGTCTGGAGTGTTACATAACCCGTGAGGGCCTAGGCCCAGAGCGGACCGTATCACTAGCGGGCGGGGCCGTTACATCAACACAATATGGATGCCTCACTTGTTGAATAAGAAACCAAGACCTCCTATTACTATGTAAATTTAAGGCCTCCTATTACTATGTAATTTGAGCCATTATCGTAAGAAAGTGCATGGATCTGAAGCAAATAAGACAATTCCGTAAAGGATCAATTCAGCTCACCTTAGTTTAGGTTACGCAGATGTTGTGGTTGATTGTCAGGCTTCTTATGTCCTATCCGCTGCCCGATTTGGTTCCAGAGCAGTAATCCTGCCAGAGAAAAAAACAAAAATGGTGCACAATATAGTAATTGTAACTTGTAACAAAAGCTATTTTTATTTCATGATAACAGGAAAGCTATTATGTTCGCATAATACTATTTTGATAGAGATCATCAAATTTTGACAAAAGTATATTGGCATAATACTTGTATCCGGTAGAAATTGGGGCTACCCGATTTCACTATTTGATCGAAACAAGGACGTTGCATCGAAGAGCTAAGGCGTCGAGTTCGAGATCAAAGTCTCTTTCGAGATCGAGGTCGGTATCAATCGAAGCCAGGGGAGATAGACTTCGAGTAACATCAGGGATAGCTTAGTAACGGAAAGAGCGAGATATCCATGATTGGCCGAGGATCGTGGCGTGGATCTCGGAACGGACCGAATCAGAAGCGGTTAATTAGTTGTTTACAATATTTCCTTCTGTAATTAGAGACATACCATAATCAAGTTTTCTCTACTATATAAAGAGGAGTTCTAATCATTTTTAGGATCATTATTCACTGAAACAAAAGCAATATATAACTCTTCTTTTCTGACTCGTATTCTTGTTCATCAATTTATTCAATCTTTACTGTTCTTATACTGTTATCACCTTGAGGGTACTTTAATTCAAGGCTAAAGCTCTGTTTGCATACTGGTTTGGATTATTTACAATTCAATTCTACCTCTTGTTATCTTACTTAACTATTGGTATTGGGTGAAATCACATATCCTTAAAACCACATTATAAATTTAATTGTTATCCAAATTTTAGGGTAAACAGTTTGGCGCCCACCGTGGGGCTAAGGATAATAGTGATTATTCAATACTGATTCCGATAACACACACTACTTTACGCTTGTTCTTGCCAAGTATTTTTGTTTTCAGGATAAAACATGTCAAACTCTCAAGCAGCGCCCACTCACACAGACACCGACCTTGGTCTTCATGGAGAAAACGATAATGTAGCCGCCCTAGGGATCGAAATGCCTCAGGCAGGCCACGAGGGAGTACCAATCACGGACTGCGTCGATGTCAGTTCGCATGTCGCCAAATCTGGGCATTGATCCTGAAGGTAGCGTACGGAGGGAAGTTCGATCAGGTGGTCAAGGTACGTAGGGCGGAGAAGACGGTGGAGTTAGCCTCCAATTGATATTTGAAATGCTACAGGCTCAGCAAGCCGCTATAGCGCAACTACAGAAACAGCGTCGATCACCAAGTGGGATCGAACCAGAGCCTGAACCAGAAACTATTCGTAGGGCTGAACCTATACTGGAGAGATGGAACGCCAATGATTCGGGGACTAACCCTGCTATAATGAAAATGCTCGAGGAGCTCACCAAACGGATTGAATCAGGAAAAAAGAAAATTGAGGCAAATGATAAAAGAGTAGAAACATACAACTCCCGGATTGACCAAATTCCAGGGGCACCACCGATATTGGAAGGACTAGATTCTAGAAAGTTCGTTCAAAGACCCTTCCCCCCTAGCACGGCTCCGAAGCCAATCCCCAAAAAGTTTTATATGCCCGAGATTCTCAAGTATAACGGGACGACCGATCCGAATGAACACGTCACCTCGTATACGTGCGCCATCAACGGAAACGACTTGGAAGATGATGAAATTGAATCCGTACTGCTGAAGAAGTTCGGGGAGACTCTATCGAATGGTGCCTTAATATGGTATCATAACTTACCCCCTAATTCTATTGATTCGTTTGCTATACTTGCAGATTCTTTTGTAAAGGCACACGCCGGAGCCATTAAAATTACAACGAGGAAGTCGGACCTTTTCAAGGTAAGGCAGAAAGATAACGAGATGCTCAGGGAATTCCTATCTCCGTTCCAAGTGGAGAGAATGGATTTGCCTCCGATCACCGATAAATGGGCTGTTCAAACTTTCACTCAAGGTCTCAACACTTGGAGTTCCATAGCTTCACAGCAGTTGAAGCAAAGTTTAATCGAGTACCCGGCTGTCACTTGGGCCGACGTACATAATCGATATCAGTTGAAGATCAGAGTCGAGGATGATCAACTGGGGATTCCTCTGGGTCCGTTTATCCTAGCAGGCCCATGGATAGGATCAAAAGGGACATCGATCGAGAGCCGAGGTCGAATAGAGATCGATATCAACCGTACAACGGAGACCGTAGAGGCAGTGGGTTTGGGCGAAGCTTCACGCAAAATGAGAGGAGAAATGATCGAGGTCAAAATTCACGGGGGCTTGATGCCGAGAAAGATCACGTTAAATATCCAAAATTCGAATAAAGGTACGACCCCATCCTTTCTATTTTTTCGACTAACACTTGCAGGTTATCGACAAATATCGGCACGAAGCTTTGGATCTTAAAGCACGCGTTTCATTCTTTTTCCCTTAGACCGGGTTTTATCCCAAATGGATTTTTCCTGCGAGGTTATTAACGAGGCAACTATTGTTCGTGCTAACTTAGAGCAATTCAATAGTATACGAGGTTCCCTACAACAAGCCTCGAGTATTGGGGGGCATTACCCTCAAATGTCTGCTTTGTTGCAAGGAAATTACTTCATGACAGCGGGGTCCCGATAGGAAAATATTGTAAGGGTCAAGCGGTCAGGTGAACCGTGCCCGCATAGGTTGCTCGAGCCCTAACATTAAACATGCGCGCATGTATAATCATCTATTGAGAGAAGTATTTTTTCCTTGCCAATATCTCATGCCTTTAGAAAAAATTTTCTATTTCATATTATTGATCTATTGTGTAAACAGGCTTAAGGGCCGACCATAACGGAAGTTCGAACAACTAACCCCATGCTTCAGGACTACCGTCCGAAAAGCAAACGAAATCGAACTACTAAAATTTCGAGACCATAAGACCTTAAAGGCGACCCTCGATTTTACAGGCCACGGTCACCCTACTCGGGGACTAACACTTCGGGCAAGCTCGAAGTGAAACGGAAAATAAGCCCAAAGGGCAAGTTCCGAACTAAAGAGGCTACGGCCAAATTAACGCGGATCAAAGACGTTCGAAATCCGTAACAAATACAAAAGCCCAAGGGCTATCTTAACCCGAGTTCGAGCAAACTCTCACTCGGGGACTATCTATAAAGCCTAAGGGCTAACTTCACTTCGAGTTCAAGTAAGCCCTCACTCGATCATAAAAGCCCAAGGGCTATCTTAACCCGAGTTCGAGCAAACTCTCACTCGGGAACTATCTATAAAGCCAAAGGGCTAACTTCACTTCGAGTTCGAGCAAGTCCTGACTCGATCATAAAAGCCCAAGGGCTATCTTAACCCGAGTTCGAGCAAACACTCACTCGGGGACTTTCTTTCGAGCCCAAGGGCCACCTTATCTCGAGTTCGAGCATGTCCTCACTCGACCATAAAACCTAAGGGCTATTTTCATTTCGAGTTCGAGCAAGCATTCACTTAACCATCAAGCCCAAGGGCTACCTTACCTCAAGCTCAAGCAAATCGACTGTTGAGCCTAAGAGCTACTTAAATTCTAGTTCAAATGGTCATTCGGGTCCATCGATAAAAAATGGTCGAGGGCAGAACTTGTTGTCGGTCATTACCATCTCAAACTCTGGACCTTCAAAAGCATTTTTATGCTAAGACGCTTTGACCCGCACAAAAGGGTAATAGATTCAGAAGCCATGGAAGGGAAAAGCTTTATATATTCGTCAAAACCTTTTTACAAGGGATATAGGTCCCGATCAAGAATTCTTTATAGGGGCCGATCAGCCTCAAAATAAAAGCAAAAAATTACGAAAAGCACGAAGCCTAAGCAGCACGATCCTTATAGGTAGAAGTGTCTTCACCCTAAGAATCTTCTCCACCACCAGACTCGCTAGAGTTCTCGGAGTCTTCCTCGGGAAAGGCCAGCTTCGGAGCTTTTATTTACTCTGTCTCTTACGTCATGGTGATGGTGTCATGGCAAATTCGGGTAAAGATCGAGGACTCAATTTGTTTCTTGCCGTTATACTCCAAAAAAAGAGGGGACTATCCGTATACAGTAGAAATCGGGGCTACCCAATTTCACTATTTGATCGAAACAAGGACGTTGCATTGAAGAGCTAAGGCATCGAGTTCGAGATCGAAGTCTCTTTCGAGATCGAGGTCGGTATCAATCGAAGCCAGGGGAGATAGACTTTGAGTAACATCGGGGATAGCTTAGTAACGAAAAGAGCGAGATATCCGTGATTGGCCGAGGATCGTGGCGTGAATCTCGGAACAGACCGAATCAGAAGCGGTTAATTAGCTGTTTACAATATTTCCTTCTGAAATTAGAGTCATACCATAATTTGGTTTCCTCTACTATATAAAAAGGAGTTCCAATCATTTGTAGGATCATTATTCACTGAAACAAAAGCAATATAGCTCTTCTGTTCTGACTCGTATTCTTGTTCATCAATTTATTCAATCTTTACTGTTCTTATACTATTATCACCTCGAGGGTACGTTAATTCAAGGCTGAAGCCCTGTTTGCATACTGGTTTGGATTATTTACAGTTCAATTCTACCTCTTTTTTTCTTACTTAACAATTGGTATTGGGTGAAATCACATATCCTTAGAACCACATTATAAATTTTAATTGTTATCCAAATTTTAGGGTAAACAATACTACTAAAAAAATGTACTGATTCTAAATAGTAATTATTGGAGGTGGACCGATCAACCTTGATCACTCTCATTGGCGTGAGGAAACCTTATCAGGAACATCTATGTCACTATGCTAGGGATAATTGATATTGGAAATATATGCAGTAAATTCAACTTTTTTTTTATAAGGTAAGATTTATGAAAAATTATCTTTTTTCATACTGGAAGTTTCTGAATTTGCAGGAGTGCTTGAAGAGAAAGGCTCTTCCCGACTTGCAATGACACACAACAACAAGAAGAGCATATAAACGGAGAGTTCAGGAAGAAGCACTCTATTAGTCACTTTGTTGAATTCATTCGTAAAGAAACAAAAAGGCAAAACTAACATTTTGTTTATATCTTTCTTTTTTGGGGAAATGAGAGCTTCTACAATCCAGAATTG